TCGCCTACCCCTCCCCAGGATCTTGGTATCCAGAATTGCGGTGATCCAGAAGGGCATGGCGTTTAGAACCGAACATGGGTTTGTCTGGAGTCTTCTGCATTCTCCGAGTCTAACCCCCCAAAACAATCTTGTTTCTTTGCGCTTGAAGGGCGAGAACTGCGCGAGAGGAGCTTATGCCAACGTTTGTTGATTCCATGTCTATGTTCGATTAATAATTGTCCGTCACTTGAGCCGCACCATGGAACTTGTCGTGGAGTGTGGAAATACTTTCTTCATTCGGATATAGGCAGGGCCCCAAAGAATAAGAACAACACGAACTGCTGCTACTGATCGTGCTGGTATTACCTTGGACTACTTGATATAGTCCCATGTTTAGCCGACCAAGAAGCAAGCAATCTCGTTGAGCTATTCACCGACGATACGAAACGACGCGATAGTTCGCCCCACAAGCATTGCTCGCACCCAAGGGGCCCAAGGGAGTTTCTTTTCTAATCTCATCAAGGAACTTTTCGCCAACAAGATCTGCGTCCACGGACTGAAAGGCGGCGCTGGCCATCGACGCTTCACTCGAAGCCACTTGAGAGAAAATATCGAGAAAGGGAGCAATACAAACCAATACGAAGCGGCAACCCGTCCGTGTCACAAAAGTCCGCTGAGGAAAACAGTCGCAACAACACCAGTTCAACCCCAGAATCCACGGCCATGCCGCGCTCTCAACACGCCCTCTCAACATCGTCCAACTCGTCAACCGTCATGGACAGGTCCACCGCGCCCGCAGACCCAGAAAAGTCGGACCACATCCCCTACGAGTCCTCCTCCTCCGCCCGCCAATCCCTAGATCGCATTCCCTCGCAGCAGCGCGACACCGAGGCCAACATCTACCCAGAACCCACCAACGTCGTCGAGGCCGATCTCGAAAAGGGCGGCTTGGCGCACGCGACAGCAACGCAAGATGCCAAGACCGATGGCCCGGTCGGTGGTGATGCACCGGCACCGCCCGCGGCCGGCCCGCCGCCGGGGATGAACCCGGCTGACTTTCCCGACGGCGGCGCCCAGGCTTGGCTTGTCGTCTTTGGAGGGTGGTGCGCGTTGTTCTGTACTTTTGGGTTGATCAACTGCGTCGGCGTCTTCCAGGCGTATTATGTGTCTGGTCCCCTCAGCTCGTATCCTTCGTCGACTGTCGCGTGGATCACCAGTCTGCAGGTCTGGGTAATGACCTTTATGGGCGTCATTGTAAGTTTCCCTCGGAGAGCCTCTTCGCCGCTGTCTCGATCGCTGACGATTCGCTCTAGTTTGGCCGTTTGTATGACACATTCGGCCCCAAGTACCTCCTCTACTGCGGTACCGTCGTCTACGTCTTCGGTCTGATGATGACCTCGCTGTCAACGCAGTACTACCAGTTCATCCTTGCCCAGAGTCTCGTCTCGTCCATCGGCTCGAGCGCCTGCTTCAACGCCTGCATGTCGTCCGTGACCTCGTGGTTCTTCAGGAGACGCGCAGCCGCATTTGGCATCATGGTCTCCGGCTCCTCGCTCGGCGGCGTCATCCTACCCATCATGATGTCCAAGATGATTCCCCAGGTCGGCTTTCCCTGGGCCATCCGCGCCGTGGCATTCCTGTTTCTGTTCTTGCTCGGTATCGCGTGTCTGACAGTCAAGTCTCGGCTGCCGCCTCGCCCGCGCCCATTCGTCTTCAAAGAATACGTCGATGGTCTGCGTGAGCCGCCCATGGCTATCACAGTATGCGCATTATTCCTCTTCTTCCTCGGCATGTTTTTGCCTTTCAACTTTGTCATCCTCCAAGCGCGTGCGCAAGGTATGGATGAGAACCTCGTCATTTACCTTTTGCCCATCATGAACGCTGTCAGGTAAGCATCTATCGCCATCATTATCTATACCATGGTACTAACAACGCGTAGCATCCTCGGTCGCATCGTTCCCGGCATTGTCGCCGACAAAGTCGGTCGGTACAACGTAATGATCTGCATTACCTTTATCAGCGCAATCTTCTGTCTCGGCCTCTGGATCCCAGGAAAGAGCAACGCCGCAATCATCGTCTTCCTCATCATCTTCGGCTTCTCCTCCGGCGGCTTCATCTCACTAGGCCCGGCCTGCATTGCCCAAATCTCCGACATTAGACAAATTGGCGTTCGCACCGGAACCGCGTTCGCCGTTCAGTCCTTTGGAGCCTTGGCTGGTAGCCCTATTGCCGGCGCCATTGTCGCGTCGCAAGGAGGCACCAACTATCTTGGGCTTCAGCTGTTCTGCGGCTTCTCGATGCTGGCGGCGGTTGGTGTTTTTATCGCGGCGAGGACTGTGCAGGTGGGATTCACGCTGAAAAAGGTTGTTTAATGGGAATTACGCTGGGTTTGAAGCGAAAGTCTAATCCTGGCATACTGCATGTCAGCAGGAGAATGAGAGTTTACCGGCCGATATGTCCGCAACCCCGATCTCCGCTCTAATCGCCGGCTCCGTTCCGGCGCCGTTTATGAGCCGTGCCCGATCCTACCTCATGATCGGCTGCGCGTCTTTCTCCCGTGTCCGGTTGCATGCGAGGAAACATAGAAAGAAACAATGGCAAAAATAACGATGAAAGAGAGTTTACATAGAATATTAGTTAATGGTGGAATAAACAACGTTGCTGTCTCCAATACCTCTGGGCTTGATTCCCTACGTACACATCCTATGTAAGCTCACGCTTCTGCAGCTAAGATGTGGCTAACGGGAGGTGACAGAGAATTTTGTCAATGAAGCTTCAGCGATTGCAAGCGACATGGCCTCGACCAGTTTACATGTAATCATTGAGACGGACTTCCCCATCTCTGCGACTCGTCGGAGCTCCGGAAGACCGCAAAGACTGCGGCTTACAAGGTCTTCATTAGATTTGAACGAGACAAACATCCTCCATAGTACAAGAATCCAATGATTTGAGACCAGTTGAGGTTGTTTGATCTCTCGCTTCATGTCTTGAGCTCCACCACTGTGACCTTCAGTTGCCGTCTACAAGGTCTTGTACGGGCGTAGGCTCGATTTTTGGGAAATCTTTCTTGAGCTTACGACGGGAGCCATCCCAAATTGCGCATAACCACGTGCACAATCTAACCCGAAGGGCCCGAAGGGGAAAATGAAGCTCTGTTGCATCTTTTCGATTACAATCTAAACAAGTCCTTGCAGGATCGCGATTGATTCCTCTAAGCTGTCAGGCCTCGCCGGTTAAGGGATAGCTTAAGGGGCATGAGGAGGGGGACCAAGCAACAAAGGAGCAGCGCAGGCATATATAGAGCGCTGGTCGTACACCTCGAGGGAAGGGCAGATTTCAGTAATTCATCTTCTAGACTCTGACAGCAGTTGGCCTCTGTGAGCTTCTTCCCTGTGTCGTACAAGTATTGACATAAGCGGTCTCGAGATCATGTCGAGTCATCAGCGATGGAGAGCTTGTTGCCCTGCAAAAGTTAGCTTTGATTTGTGACCCAAAAAAGAATTTTGGAATTACCTTTGATGCCTTCTGCGACTTGGACAAGACCGTTGTAAACGGTCCTGTCGTCAATGGGGTGGGTAGCTCTTGGAATGTGAACTGACACTCTGAAAAAGGGCGAAATTGAAGCAAGCAATGCCAAACGTGTGGTCAAAGAGGGTGGGACTATCCTCTGACTCAGGGATCGACGCAGCGTTGATAGCGGTGTTGACAAAGAACGCCATTTGTTCGAGGTAGGAGGCAGGGCAGCATAAGTCGGGTAAGTAAGTGGTCGCGGAAGTGTCCGAAAGTCACTCGCCCCAGTGAGATCAACTTCATCTTCGTAATGGCCGTCTTCTTTCTAATAATAGGAGATATTGACGCCCAGGCCCTAGGTGTTACGCAGATCTGAGTGATGTTTATGAGTGAGTTGATGCGGTCCCCTAGATTGGCGACGATGCAAGGTAAGGGGGAAAGGTTGAGACTCCATATTCGGGTAGGTAAGGGATGCCGAAATGGCTTGGTATGAACCTCCTCGTTGTCTTCGATCTCTCAGCAGCTGCGACGAGATTTAACTCTGACTGGCTTTCCCTGGTAATGTTGTAAACTGTTGAAATTAGGGTGTCGACATTGTATTTTTCAAGGACGGCCGTGAGAGAATCAATATCAGAATAGTCTACAGCCACGAAGCGAACATTCGGGGCTGCGCCTCCGGGTTGTCCTGAGACCTAGGTGAGAACATGACTGTTAGTATTGAGTCTTATTGCTAAAATGCATGGACCATTGTCTTGTTGATAAGTACCTTTCTCGTCAGCACGATAACCTCATGGGTTCCTTGGGCCGAAATAGCTTCAACAAGATCACGGCCAGGGCCGCTGATTCCGCCAGCAATTGCCACAGCCATATTGGTCTTATCTTTCGTTATCTTACTTTCAACAAACAAAACCTTTCCTCAGTGATGGCGAAGGGGCCCGGAAAATTCAGTCTCTCCACACTGTTCGAAGTTTTCGTCCTATATATGTTTATGGATCAATTACGGCGTGTATCAAGAGTCTTGCTCATGCCAAGAGTGAAGACTCATCTCGCTCTTCGGACAACGCCAAGGCGTCCGTCACATGGCAGTATTGTGGCTAGCAGCGTCATGAACCGGAGATTAAGGACAAGATTTCGGAAGCGCAAGAATCTGAGCAGGCCATGACCAACTAGCTTAGAAATTCAACTCGGCAGCTTCCGTTAACATGGTCTGCCCCGAGTTTAGCAGTGGGATGTGCAGCTGTCGCGGACACGGGATCTCGTAGGTTTCGGGGCTCTCGGGGACCGAAGACTCTTTTGGCCCGCCCCTCCCGACGGAGATAGATCGTTCGCTTTTACGCGATCCCAATCGTAAGTCTTCTTGATTCAAAAGTTCGGTTATCTTTTCTTCTAGGAGATTTTCATTCTGTTTGTTACAAAACCAGTACAATAGTATGGTACTCGACTCTATGTGTCTATCGTTGATCTCGCACCCAGCCGCAAGCCTCGAGCTGGGATAGCCTGGTGAAATCCGACTAGAAGAAGCCCATGACCTGCTCCCCACCAAACATCATCTCCATGTCCTGGTTAGACTGCCCGTGTTCAGCCGCCAAATGATAATTGCCCGCCATAGCATTAGCCGGATAAAATTGGGTGAGCCCCAGGGTTGACAGAGACGGGACAGACGCCCAATCTTGCTCGCTGCTTGTCTGGATGTGCTTTTGTGCAATCATATAGAGCTGTCGAGTAATGTCATAAAAGTCCTTTGCAGAAGGTGATAGATCGGCCCCATGCTCAAGGCTGTCTGCAAAGCATTTGAGTCGTTGCGCGTCGCTCGAATCTTGAGTCTCGACTATGTGGCAAAATACCACCAGGAGTGGAATAAAAGGGGTTTGGAGTAGTCTCCTGAATACACAATGGCACCTGTCAACTCCACAAAGGATGATCTAGAAAATCGGCATGAATAGTGGTATTGGGCTTACCAATGGAGGTAGAGATTCACAATATGTAAGTCGCCGCTCATCAAGGGGACGCACTCAAGATGGGCGTCAATTGTCGAGCGTGCATATGCCAAGCAGTCCGGTGAGAAAGATGGCACAGAAGCTCGAGAAGTTCTTGCCCTGCATATCAGAGTTCCTGTCGTATAGTACATGACTTTAGCGGATATCGCAAGGACATCATCCAACTTCGTCGTTGGTTCGGTACTATTGGCAGGGGAAATCCTTGAGTTGACCTGATTGTACGTTACCATCATCATACTTGAACTGAGTAACAAGCTCCACGGTCGTACATACCAGATTAACGGGCTCTATCAAATTGAGATCAGCAAGCAGGCTATCTGCTCGCTCGGATAAGTCTTCCTGGGAGACAAGCTGTGCGCTTCGACTGTAGAGCAGATCGTAAATTTTGCTGTGAATTGAGGCATTCTCGACCCAGAACGGCACAACTTTATCCCACAGCCTTGGTAGACAGACCAGATTGAGCCCCTTGGGTATGTCAATATCAGAGTCTCTAATCATGGAGGCTCTGCCCACGCGCAAGGCAATACTCTTTTCCAACCCGTAGACGTGCCAGAACAACAAGGCTTTGACGTTTCTCGTACTTTCGTCATCAGCAACAATAAGACTCTCGTCATGAAAGCCTGCAGCCATGCAAAGCTGCGCTGCGAAGCATATCAACCTCCATGCCAGCCACGGTTTTGCCATCTCGATGGCGTGCGTTGTCTGGGTTGTTAGTGTGGAACAAGGTCAACATATGATGGCTTGACATACGCCGAGGATCAATGCTTGTACGTTTTTGGCTTTTGCAGATAAACCGGCATCTATCGTTGCTACTGCGGCCGTGAGAGCATTCCTGCACATTGCCCCCCAGGCGAGAGACTGTTTCCGAGGCTCAGACTGTTCCACACTGGGAGGGCAAAAATACTCTGTGAAAAGAGAATGCAGGCCCGAGTTCACTATAATGAAGTCAATGGCAGTATAGTCGTCGACGGAGAAGTAGACGTTCCGGCAGAGGTCAATGAAGTCCGAACATGGGAGAAAACACCTCAAAACAAAGAAACTGCTGGGAGGGTTGTCTATCAACTCACAATCCTTAGCAAAGGACTTTGGACAATGACTTTGACACAAGATACAAGTTGATCCACGTACCTTTCAGTTGTCTAAGCACACCAACGACAGCGGCTATTGGCGGCAGAGGCATGTTTCGGTAACTTACGGGCTTCTGGGCTAAGTGTCGTTGGACAGGTCCTGCTGGACTCTGAGATCCCGCGACTCTATGCGCACTAGCAACGGCATTCACGTAGCATGAGGTACCCAACTCAATGGCCGCACTTTCTGTGAGTCTTCTTGTTGCTGCCATCTGGAACCTCAGTGAGGAGGGGCCTTCAACCGGCGGAGCTTCATCTCCTGCATCATATTCTGTGGCGACGTGAGGTGTATCCTTTACGGAGAGCGGCACTTCTGAAGGGGCCTTTTCAGGGGTCAGCCCCGAGCATGAGCATTGTGTTGACGCCGCACTGTGTTGTTGTTTGAGCAGCAAGGACTCAATATTGGCTAAGCGTTTATCCAAAAGGTCAATCTTCTCCTCGCTGCGAGCCTATTAGCCTGAAAGATGCTGCGAGGGAAGGAAAGGGTTGATCGGGAAACACACTACTGCAGGGATACATGAACCCTCTGGCGAGGAACCTTGGGCTTCTGACCAGCGCCAGTGAATGTGCAGTCCTGTGACGACTGTCGACAGTTGAAGCAAGGTACGCTTTTGTCACATCGAACCTATTAGAGTGGCTGTTAATGATTGGTGTTGATCACAGAGACAGAGACACTGATGCAGAAATTTGTGCCCCTAGAACATTGCTGCGTCTCATTTTGGAATCATTGCAACACGTCCACTTACTTTGCGCAACCGGCATAAGTCACACTAGACACATTTCTGTTAGATATGTACTTAAGTAGGACCACAATCGATCTTTGCTTACCGCAGTTGCCCTTGAGTCCATGTCAGCTATTCGGGCTTGAATGCAGCTGCCTCAAGCTGTGTCGAGTTATTGGGGCAAGAGTCGTGGAATCTCCTTCGGACTCCTCGGTCGCCATTGCCTGGACTCAGTGACATCCCGTCGGTGGGAGTGTAGTATCGGCCTCCGAGGAGACCGAGCAGGGATGTGTGCACAAATTTCCATCTCCGTCTGTGGGCCAGATCCGAGATCTGAACGAGCAAGGGGTGCGGAGCAGTCCGCCCGGCGCTCGGCCCTCAACTCGGCGCCGGCTGCGGACCTTGGATACCAGTCACCTGTACTATTCATTGGTGCCATTGTGCTTGCCTGTCAATTAAAGTCAGGGTTGCTTATCGGGTGGTATTGTTCTTCGTACAATACAGGCTGACTGGTCAGCTTTCGGCTTATTATTTTGGCTAGCTGCCTTATTCTCTTGAGATTGTAGCAATACTCCGTGAGAAAGAAATCAGTAAAGTTTATGAACAACAAGGTCCAGTCTAGAGATGCCCTTGTATCCCGGTGATATCGACTGAACTTTTCTAAGTTTTGACTCCTTTGAGGCCGCCCGACTCTACAAAGAGTATTGTTTAGTGTGTCTCATCGATTTAAGTAGAACCAACGCCGTGTGACAACTTCCTCGTCACGGCAAACTGCGCTGATCAAAACGTGTAGGATCCTCGGCAACGATTGGCTGATGAACAGTCTGTTCCATGGTATCGGCTGAGATGAGGGCACCAAGATGTTTGGAGCGGGTGACTCGTCGCTTGCTGTCTTTGATTCAGCTGCAGGTATGAGAGGTGTTCTAGACAACCCCGATCAAAGGTTCCCCTGTCTCGTGGAAGAGTCAGCTGGACCGAAATCGGGTCTTCGAATTAGCGATCAACGCAAACATTGTGTCAAGATCATGGGCCCTTCAGGCTTGAGAAAGCTCAAGAAATCGCACTCGTCGGCTAAGAATGTTATTTTGCTGGCAGGAAGGGTTGAAGCAAATGAATGGGACGAATTGAACTGTATCTAGACACGGTCATTATGACGCTATTGATCTCAACCCCTCAGCAATTGGCAGCAAAATCTGACAGAACACATTCTAAAGCCGTGTGGTTGACTCAATCTGCATGGCGCTAAATGCTGACTTCAGCTGGTCAAAGACTGGCGGCGGGGATGCGATGTGGATTGACGGGGATAAACTTAAAGAGCCTGGTCTGTCCAAAGCTCCCATCATCATCAACATTAGTTGCCTGAAGAAAGTCTATTCTAACATCGACGACACTTTATCAACAGGCTCTTATGGCTTCACAAATGAGTACCGCGGACCTTGTCAATCATTTGAAGGCGATCTACGCTTCGTATAGACATACCGCGGATATCGATGCGAAAGGGATCTTTTTTTCTCCATCTTGCTACCAAATTTGTCGCCCAAACCCCTCGTTTGCTGCGCACAATCGTGAGACAATCGTGCGCTACCTGCACGAGTATGCACCCAAAGACGAAAACGGGGCATCGGGGTCAAGTGGAAAGCCAGCGAAGAAGGGATATTATACGATACGACCACTCGAAAAAGAGGAGTTTGAGTTCGGCGCCGACGAGCAGACTGCTCCTGCCGGCTTCTCTTCAGCGTCGGAAGTCGAACAGAAGGCCAGAAGAGAGGGGTGGGTGGGATTGAGGGTTGATCTTTGGGATGAATCGCCAGGTCATGGAACAGACAGGGAAGAAGACCTTTTGGTCAAGGTGCAGTACTGGTGGCGTAGAGAGGAAGGCAACTGGGTGCAAATATTTCACGACATTATGTACATGGGTCCGCGTGATGGGAGTGAAGGGGTTGATGCGGAGGTCTTGGAATGACATCCAGACCCATCACATTTGCGAGACAAGAATGGATGACAGGTAACTCAGACGAAGGGTAGCTTGCTGGATGTCTCACATTGTTCGGCTGGAGTTGGCTGTCGAAGTTTTTCTTTAATTTCATCACACTCGATTCCCATGTCTCAGAGTGGTTCGTTCTGTTCTGGAATCATTCAGCATGGTGAGAGGGTTAGAAACAGGCTTGTGTCGCGGACTGGGAGATGAAGCCGCTTGGTATGTATATCCTCCTCAAAATCATTGACATGTCCTCGTCTAAAGCATGTCGGCATGGACAGTACGCTTGTGTACCCTGTTATGTCCTGATTTTGGTCAACAGATACGCTACAACGAGTGAGAAGAACTATCATTGACTGTCGAGGAAAATCTACCAGACATTGTTACTTATGAACCAAGTTTAGAGGTAGTGAATTACCAAGCGTCTCACTGTGTACAGTACAGTCACCTCAGCTTCAAGTGTATCACAGGTTGGCTCCACCTCCAGTGCTCTCATCTGCTCGGTTGATAGTTCCAGAATCCATGCCTGTCTTTCGTTGGACTTGACCGGCATTGTCTTAGATTGAAATTTGACAGGAGTTCTAGGCGATGTCAGGATCATTCAGATCCTCTCTGAGCGATATTTCGGTCCATTTCATACCAGAATCACCCCGAGATGAATGTTGACTTTTCTGACTTGACCACAATTCACCACAGTGGGAGAATCCATCATGGGCTTCCGAGCTTCCCTAACCTTCACTATTGGCGTGTTAACTCTAACATGCAGAGCACAGAATCCGATCCCCGAGGATCAAGATCCGTGTCTAGATCCTGGGGTCCTTGCCTCGAAATGGTTTGACGACAACATGATCCGGCCAAACTATGTTCCAGCAACGACGGAAGAAAAGCCTAGTCAGTGATACCCAATGCATTCTTTCCGATATATTCCACGAGCGGTGTAGGAGCCCGTAATGTCGTTAACTAACACATGCGAGTATAGTTGTTGCTCAGAGAATCTTCGACCAGCCCCAGACTTCAGAGACTGGCAGGTCTTATGTGACTAGTCTGGAGCAGACCAGCGTGCTCTACATGACGGGAGTCATTGTAGACTTACTGCAGGCTGATGTGCAAAAGACTGGAGCACCTGAAGACTTGCCACGGTCCCTCGGAACAGGTTATAATAGTGCCATTCTTGTCGTAAGATCTATAGTATCCTCGGGCCTTGCGTAATCTTACTAGATGCCTGACTTTGAGAAGGGCGAAAGATCAACACTACGGTTCTCTGGTCGCATCGAAACCCACAATGGCGCAATCAACCTGTATGCAACTGGAGCTGGGACGACGGTCACCCTGGAGGCACCCCAAGTGTACAGTAGCGGCCCGGGAGCCATTGGTCTTTTTGCCATCCGGGGTGCCAATTTGGATGTCACCAATCTCCGCCATTGCTCGGGTGGCTACCGATCACCTACCCTCGCGGGCCTCAACATCAACAGCCGTGGGGGCGTCGCCCACACTACCAACCCGGGGTCGCCATTGATTTACTCACTAGGGCGAACCATGTCATCCAATCTGACCGGTTGGGCCGACGCGTCCCCTGCCATAATCATGGAGGGGCCTCAGTATGTACATCTAAACGGTTCAACCATCACTTCGGGAACAATCAGTGGTTTCCTGTTCTTCGATTGGTCCATTACGGCTCAACATGATGCCGGCACGTTGGAGGCGACGTCCCTCAATCTGACGGTCCGCGAGGGCCCGGCCTTTTACCTGGCAACATTTTCCGCCGAGATCATTCTAATGAATGCAAGGATATACAATCCTTCAGGAATTCTGCTTCTGGCGGATACGAACACAGCATCCCGGGACCTTGAGAGGGTCGAGCCGCAGCTTTGGAGCGGGAGTCCAATCTCTTCCAACTCTTCCCTGACGCTGATGGGCTCGGAAGGCATTTCCGGAGATATCGTCACCCGGGGTGGTTGTACCGTCACTGTCAATCTTCTGGCCAACAGCACGTGGCAGGGCTCCGCCAATGCATCTCTCATCAATAATCGTGGGGGCTTGACAGTGCAGATTGACGATACAAGCACCTGGATCGTAGCAAAGAACTCGTTCGTCCGAGGTCTGTCAGTCGTTGGTGGGGATCTTGGACGCCTCAAGGACCAGGGGTACACGGTTGCGTATGATCAGAAAGCCGCAGAGAGCTCCTGGCTCCAAGGCCGGACGTACACTTTGCAGAACGGAGGAAAGCTTCAGCCGTGGAATTGAGCTGATAGCTGGCTGTTCTTGATTACCGATACAGAATGCTTTGCGATAGAACGAGTCATGGTGAGGAGATTGCAAGTCGGTGTTTGTTCATCCGTCTCTGACATTTTGCATTTGAAATCGAAGAATGGCAAATAGCACAACGTAACATGTCGGATCCGAGCAACGTTTTGCCCAATTGAAGGAATTTTTTAAGCTTTACGTACTCCTTGTCGACCCTACCCACCGTTCAAAGGCCGTGTTCCACAGGATCCATCTCGGCTAATCAGCCTAGTGGTTGTGAAGATCGAGGTAGGGACTTTTGGCGATGGCGCAATTGCTGTTATGTACGGGATTGGTGAAGAGACTTTTCTGCAACACAATTGTGTTTGTTTGCCACGAAGAACTCGGGAACTTCTGCTGCTTACTATGGCACAATATGTGAACACGCTCTCGCCCGAGTCGCCCCTATGAGATGATTGAACCGAGTCGCAGTGGGATGGCACTTTTGCCGCAATACGATGCAGTGCGCCGGCGATCCTGCGGGGCATTTCGAAAGGCCCCGTAGGGTTACATTCCTAGAATCGAAAGCCACCTTCAGAAGCCGCATATCCGCTTAAGCTCGTGCCATCGCGCGACGCAGGTAATATAAAGATGAAAAACGCCGATGACACCATCGCAATGGCTCCGCCAACTAACTGTAACGGTCGACTGACCTCCCACATTCGGGAGTTGTCTAGAGTCAGTAACGGCGAGTGGGCGAAGCAGTTGAACCATGGACGACTTCTTGATATAAGTTGCAACGCCCAGCTGTCGGAGGGTTGCGTTCGGAAGAAGAAGGTCCCTGATCCCCAGAGGCTTGGCCAACTTGGCTCCCGTGTGGCGTTCTCTTCCAAGCATCTTGGCGATCAGCCGCCCTGAACGACCTC